AAATCACATCACGCACCACAGATGGCGCTGTCCCCATTTATGCCATAATTTAACATACCTTTTCAATCCGTTACACCTACATGTCAAAATTAGTACATCACTACAATATCTTTATAGAAAAATCCTAAAACTAGTCGTGTTTTTCCCTTACAAAACTTAACCATGCTTTTATTATAGTAAAAGTACAATAACCATGTTGTGGTTGTTCTTTTGCAAATGAATTACCATTTTATATTTATTTTTACTAATTCCATGGTTAAACTATGGTTAGTGTGATGACTGATGAATGGGCTGCTGCTGCTTAGCCAAGTAAACAAAGACAAAACTACAATAGCATATTTACAGATGAAACTGACCTGCACTTGAAACCCTGAACAGTAGTTGTGCTTCTCTGCTCCACCAGTGCGCTTCCACAGTCCTCTCCATTCTCTCTCTCGCATTGATTACTCTGATCCAAACCAAGCCGAAGCATTGCCAGTCACGACTAACCGATTCATGATTTATTAGAGATTTAATTATCGAATGGCGAATTCGGAAATAATGGCTTTAATACATTCGGCAGGCAATTATACAACAATAATATTAAAATATCGGTCCAAATCGGCTGCCAGGCTCAAACGACTACAGAACAATGCTTCGGGCACGGTGAAAAAATATTTCACGTGAAGTATTTTTGAAGTAGTTCTAAAAAAGGCCAGAATATTTAAAGTCATAGGCTTACGTTTCCAAATTAGAAAATGACGTCAACTGAGGCAGCGCTGGTGTTGAACCAGTGGATCCGTGTGTGGACCACGTAAAAAGAATGACTCCGATGCAGTTACATTAGAATCCGGTTATCCGTGCGTGGACCACGGCTGATGCCTGTCACTGACTTACATTGGTATCACTTCTGTGAGCCCATCACGGAATTTTCGACGATTCCGTGATGCCACGACAATATTCGGACCATAATATCCATTATGAGTTTTAATATTCTCGATTGTATGATTTGTGAAAAATTAAGTGCAATTTTTAGTCGCGGTACTCACGTATCACGGAATTTTCGGCGATTCCGTGATGCCACCACGGATTCGGATGTCATGGTCCGTGGTCATTACACGGAATTCTGTGTGATCAGGTTGACAATAATATTAAAATATCGGTCCAAATCGGCTGCCAGGCCACCGGGAATTGTCCCAGTTCTCCCGATGGCCAGTCTGCGCCTGATTTATGTTGTCTTTTTGCAGCTTAATATTCACAGACACTAGTCCAGGGCTGTCCAAACTCGGTCCTGGAGGGCCGGTGTCAAACAGAGTTTAGCACCAACCCTAATTAAACACACCTGAACCAGCTAATCAAGCTCTTACTCGTCATAGAAACTTCCAGTCAGGTGTGTTGAGACAAGTTGGAGCTAAACTCTGCAGGACACCGGCTCTCCAGGACCGAGTTTGGACAGCCCTGCACTAGTCCATATCGCGTTTTGATTCAAGTGTACTGACCTACTTTTGATTTATTCGTCCAAAATGTGTATATTCCGTCCGCGTTAGGCTATAGGAATTCCGTTTTCATGACTGGATTCTACGAACCAGTCTGTGTTTTCCGCATCGCGGAAATTATAGGACCGTACGTCTCAGAGTAGTCGGTGCAATTTGGGATAGAAATCAATTAAATCTGTATGTGGATGTGTGTAAATATTCAAATGTAATCCCCTTTGTAATCTTTAACATTTTCATAACCCTGATAGCACAGGTACATCTCGGAGACCTCTATTTGACGTCTGCACACAGACTGGTGTTTACATCTGCAAGCAGGGCCGTTTTAACCATAGGGCTAGGCGGGGCTGAAGCCCCGGGGCCCGAGCAAGGAGGGGGCCCGTGATTGGCTGTGGAGTAGATTGACTGGAGCACCGATCGCCAAAGCCACCACGCCCCCCACTTATTAGCGCTGTTATTTAGTTGAGCTTTCCCGTAAATTCCATGCGTTACCATTTGAGATTGAAACCTAAAGTTTGAATTTGGTTTACCAATCAAATGCATATTCTATATTCGACTTTTGAACGATATGCGCATGTATCTATCAGGTGATTGCTGCCCAGTATGTCTGCATTCACCTCTCTTCACTTCGTTCTGGATTAATCTGGAAATGGTCGCGCAAAGAACAACATTCAATAAGTAAAAATGTCAGCAATTCTAAAAGAGAGAGAGGCTCAAAAACCGAATAACTTCAAATACAAACAACATAAAAACATGACTTCATAAATTCCCCGGACCCCAGCTATCAGATTATTTTACTAAAGCTGATGATGGAGTGGAAGTTGCTGGAACAGCAAGTGAACCGGGCACATGGAGCAGATAAAAACAGTGTCATCGTCCACACAGATTTTTAGGTTAGTTTGATTATTAACTGGATTTATATTGTTTTTGTGTTTGAACAAACTATATTCATTTAAGGGTTGGGAGATAATCCGGTAGAAATATATCAATCGTTGATTGAAGCGCGTCATGATGTAGACTAAGCTTATCATTTCAAGGCGTTTTAAACAGGCTTTAAAATAAATGGTTAATACTGTTCATGGACATTACGCTGCGGGGCAGAATTCATTCTGGTAAATGCGTGCGTTAAAACGGGTTCTACCTGATACTGCTCGTATTACTGACTAAACTTTCGCTCATTGTGCTTAAACGGTCAAATACACACAGTTATGTGTCAAAATGCCCGTCTTTGTGAGTATCCTCGTAAACACAGTTATTTGTGTCTTAAATGAATCTTAATAGTTAAAGATAAAGCATGTGTTAGGCTATATGAGATCCTATATGATCAGATATATGATGAGATCTTAAAAGGATATTCACCCAAAAATGAAGATACTGTCATCATATACTTACCCTCAAATTGTTCTAAACCTTTATGAATTTCCTTTTTCTCCTCAACATAAAAGAAGATATTTTGAAGAATGATCGTAACCAATTTCTGGTCCCAACTGACTCCAATAGTGTTTTTTTCTTTATTTCTTTTTGTCTTCATATATGGAAGTAGTGAGGGCCCAGCAACTGTTTGGTTACCAATATTGCTCCAAATATATTCTTTTGTGGTCAACAGCATGAAGGAATCTCATACAGGTTTTGAACATCAACAGAATTTGCATTTTTGGGTGAACTATAAAGCAGCCTAATATAGCTGCTGTTACCATTTGTGTCAATAATGTAAATCAAACATCAGAAAGAAAATTACTTACTGTCCTTGACTGAATCACTTTTGTAAAATAAATAAGAATGAATGTATATTGAATTTATACAGTGAAGACTATTCAGTCCATTTGCACATTTTCTTTATACAATATATTTATTATTCAGTGCTTTGTTTTTGTTTTTAAGTAGGCCAGTTTTTATGATCTTTGTTCTGTTGTAGCCTAATTTGTGACTGTTTACTTGTCTTCAGTAAGCTTATTTTTACTTAGGCTAGTATTATTTTTTATTGATATTGAAATTGGTAACAAAAATTATGAAATTTCAGTACATCAATAATTTTGATATGGTATAAAAATCCTATTTAAAGCTTTATATATATATATATATATATAGGGTACAACAACTTGAATGATTTATTTTCACACAAAATCTGTTGCTCCGTTAATGTTCAATACAACGTATATATTTTTTCTGCAATTATACATTTTAGGCGCAGTGAATGGCACATTTTTTCTTAAGGTGGGCTTTCAGCCCCGTTGTACCCTATATATATATATATATATATCATTATTGTGATGGGGGGCCCTGCAGTAAGTTATCGCCCCAGGGCCCAGTGCGGTCTTAATGCAGACCTGTCTGCAAGACGTATTTTTTAGAGTGTTTGCTCATCTGCAATACGTCTATAGGACGTTTCCTATCAGATGTCCAATAGACGTTTAGAAGATGTCTTTAAGATGTTTATGATTTAGAATGAATGTAAAACTGAAATCTTAAAGACGTCTATCAGATGTTTGTACACAGCAGATGCTTTCCAGATGAAGAGATCTTTAACAGACATCTTGCAGACGTGCATGTGCTATCTGGGAAGTAACTGTAATTTAATTACACATTTTTTTCTTAGTAACTGTAACTGATTACAGTTACATTTATTTTGTAATTAAATTACATAGCGCTGTTACATGTAACTAGTTACTCCCCAACACTGATAATAATGCAGTATTATTTTTCAGAAAGTTGGTAACATTACCATTGCTTGACATGTGGCCAGGAGGAGTACGTGAAGTATTTGGCATAGTATTGCACTCTATTCTGCTTATGCACCTTTTTTTAATGCAAAAATATTTATGAACTAACCTTGACAAGCATATTATACATTTCTGAAACTGCATTTTATGACCCATTTAAGAAATGTTTACATTTTTATTTTATTCTCAAGATGTATTATGTTAATAATGATTTTGCTATAGTGGTTCAGGTTGCAGGATTGCTGAATGATAGGTTTGGGACAGGAAAGCAAAGTCTTGGTTAATTTTCAACCCTGTAATATAAAGCAATTATTTACTCTGCATTTTCTGTCTACATGACAAGCAAATAGACTCTAAACTCTGAGAAGAAGATAAAAGAGTTACACATTTACAGAGATCTCTCCTCATGAGGTTATATGTCTTTCTTTACAGGCTCATTTACCTGAACAATTACCAGTGCAGGTGAGTCTAGTGAAGTTAGAAAAACATGGTGCAGACGTAGTGTATGTTTTTCCCATTCAGGGAACTCGAGCTGTGTCAGAAACTCTTGATTTGAGAAGTTTGCATTACTGAATTATTTAATTTGTTACTGTTTTAAGATGCTCCGTAGTTAATGAGAACTAATGCTCAAGACAAAAACATTCTTGGTTTATGGTTGTTTTTGTGGTTCTGATCAGATGGCCAGTGAGATCGAGTTAAATGATGATTCTTCAGTTCATAGATGGAAATTAAAAAAACTGGGAAACCCATGTTTTAAATGTGTATTGATTGTTTGAACAAATAAAATGTCTGTTGTTCTTTCTGCTTATTAATTTGTATTACAGGATGTTGTACAACCAGCCGAGTGCATTGGTAGGGTGAGTATTATGTTTTTAGTATCAACCTGTTATAGCCCATTTCCACTCATGAATGGAATGATTACAATGCTGTATGTGTGTTTTTAATGAAGTCGGACAGATGTTGCTTCTGTGACTTCATGGTCAGCTCCAATTATTTGGGAGGGAACCTTTGACTCCACACTGATCGACTCTATCTACAAACAACAGAATCTCACTATAGCAACCACTGTCTTCGCTTTGGGAAAGTAAGCCTTCATGATACCTCTTTTCTTGTATTAATAATTCTCATTTGTTTCCCCTCCTCTGTTTTTCCTGGTTTCTGGAAATAGTAATGATTAAACGATAAATTAACCATAATATATCTCCCTGTCTTTGTTTTCTGTGTTTGTTAGATACACGCGTTTTGTCAAAGATTTTCTGGAGTCAGCAGAGCAGCATTACTTTGTTGGATTTCGAGTGCATTACTACTTGTTTACAGATCATATATTTTTATATGTTTTATATACTGTACCCACCTAAATTAATTAAACTCTGACACCGTTTCAGATAAAGCTATCAAATCAACTGTAAAATATTGAGAATATTATTCCCTATAATGCTTTATCTATTGAAAGCATATGAAAAGTAGAGATGCAAAAGCCCTTAAATTCCATCTGAAATTTTCTTCTAAAATGAGCATTTGTATCACGCTCCCATGTTTAGGTAAAGCACTTTCACTTTAATGGCAATCAATGTTATTTTCTTTGTGAAATGGCTGAATATAAATGTATAATCTCAGGGAGATTTTTTTTCACATTAAACTTGTGCATATTAGTACCTTAATGGTACATATTAATACTTTAAAGTTCCCGTGAACCGGCTTTGCTTCAGTGCTGTGCCGTATATTTCCAAGTGACACTAAATAGAGGGCAGGGTTTTGTGTTTGCACACCTCCTCTCCATCTCTCGCTCATAGCAGACTAATGGTTGATGTTTTTTTTAAATTTTTTATAGTTCCATCACATAAACATACAAGGCAAATATAAGGCAATGTCATACAGTTTAAAGCATGTAAAACAGAAAAAATAAAAAATTTAACAAACATATATAAAAAAATATTAACAAAATAAAAATACCTGTATAAAAAAGCACTATATAACATTACGGCAGTTACATAAATATGAAAAGCTTTATAATTTTTTATTGTTTCTATAAGCTTCTTATTTTGTGATATCATATAAGAAAGAGTTTCAAAATATATTTTAAGACCAGTGTTACAAAAGGTAATATGATGGTTTATTTTTATTTTTATAATTTTTTTTACTTGTATATAAAGCTTTGATAAGATAATTAACAGAATAATACTTTTGTTTATCAGAAAAATTATGGGTTTTAAAAACCATTTAAAATATCATGAAGTTGTAAATTGAGGGCTTTGTTTATTTGTTTATTTTTAGGTCTATTTTAAAGTCAACCCTAAATGAAATAGAAAATCGCCAATAGAAAAATAAATGTTCAATATCTTCAACTGATATGTTACAAAAGGAACACTTATCACAAACACTATGAGTATATCTGCTAACAGAGGCATTTATAGGATGACAGAATTATTAAAGTTCTAAGTGAATAATATTTAGATATTTTTACAGTTGGTTTGATATCTTTATCTCAAACTGTGTCAGAGTTTAATTAATTTCAAAAGTTATCAACCATTTAGAATAGATCCACATCTGACCGATGAAAATGCTACAAGAAATTGTATTGGCTGTAAGTGAAATGCACCAGAAAGTCTTTCAACAATCAAAGATGGAACTTTAATTTCTAAGTGGGTACAGTATATAAACCATATGAAACAAATATGGTTTCAGTGCTATATATAAAAACAATAAAGGCATAATCTGAAAAAACAAGCCTTGTGCATTAAAGTGAATAATATTTAGATATTTTTACAGTTGGTTTGATACCTTTATCTCAAACTGTGTGAGTTTAATTAATTTCAAAAGTTATCAACCATTTAGAATAGATCCACACCTGACCGATGAAAATGCTACTAGAAATGTTATTGGCTGTAAGTGAAATGCACCAGAAAGTCTTTCAACAATCAAAGATGAAACTTTAATTTCTTTACAATGTAAGTTTATGCTAGAAATGTTTTGGAATGGGATATTTGTCTGATTTGTATAAATATCCTAGTCTGTCATTACAGGTAAACACCATCTGATGTTCCATTTATCTAAATAAATAACATATATGGCTCTAAATCACTGCTTATAAAAATTATGTGTTGTCATATTTGAAATACCTCAACTGAATTGAGGTAATTTGTTTTATCATTTTATTACTGACTGTGTACTTGTCTTTTTTTGTAAATTCAATTCAGTTTGAAATCAAGCTTCCTTGTCCTGTAAGCTTTTGCAACAAAGTTACCCTATTTTAAAGACACAAATACACAGAATAATGGTAATGGTAATTGATCGATGTTTATCCACCTTTTTCCTACGCCCCATGATGCTTTGCGTGAATTATGGGTGGAACTTCCGTTACGACGGAAACAATCATTCATAGCAAGATGTGGAATCACACGCTGACAGAACTTATAAAGGACAACATCAACATACCCGTCCCTTCCTTAGTAGAGGAATGGGAGGACGATTTAAAAAAGTGGCCACGCATACGTACAGTAGCATTTTCAGCTACTTTGTTGATTCAATTGCTTGGTTTTAGTGTCTACGTCAGGTGTCATACAGACGGCAGGGTGCTCATGTATCGCAGGTCCAGGGCGCTCATGTTGTCACGCAGCTGCAGTAATGTGGAAGGTCAGTAAATAATGTATAAAAATAAAAAAAGATGAGGACTCTCAAATAAACTGTGTTTAACGACAATGTACTAACATTTAAATGTATCATTTGACACAATGCACTGTGCATTGTGTAAATTACACTGTAAAAACTAAAATTATCATCAAAATGATAAAACATCTAAAATTACACCCCATAACCCATTCCATGGAACCTGTGCCAGCCTTACCCAAATCACACCTCAGTGGCATCAAATGTAAAAAAATAAATAAAAATAGGGTAAAAAAAATTTCTCCCCATATGCACAGTCGTTAAAGACACCTAATATGAGGTGGGATTGATAATGATGATGATGATTGTACTATATTATTAGTATTACCATTAGTATTAGGCTAGTAGTAAACGCATAATCTGAGTGCTAACTAATGTGTTTAACATCTAAAAGCTACAATCCTACACTCTCAGTAAAAAGGTACACGATGATACAAATAATGTTCCTCAAAGAACAGTTTTGTATCTTTTTAATAATTGTACCTTTAATGGTACAGTAAAGACCTCCGATGATACTGTTTGGTACCTTTCAAGGTACTAGTTAGGGATGGGTGTATCGATCCGAAATATATCGATATATCGATACTGACTGCGAGTATTGAAAGTATCGATGCTCAAACAAAAAATATCGATACTAAGGTGCGCTTTATTTACCAGTGGTTGCGTTTCCCAAAAATACCATAAGAAAGCATTAAAGCTTTTGGGAATGGCAGCCCTGAACAATGCTTATCAGAGAAGGGAAATAAAAACATAAATGTTTGAGTTATTTCACAATAAACAAATTTAAATTGTAGCCTACATATTTGTGCAATTACAATTATTTAAATTGAATGTTGAAAGATAATATTGATCATGTAAAGGTTGCATTTTATGCATGGTATTATTTCAAAGGGTTACTAATGACTCATCATTTGGATATTTCCATGTCTGGGAAAAAATTGGGATTAAACGGGTTAAAATGCGTTTTAAACTAAAGTTAAGTGGTTTTCATTACCCATTTTACTCTTAGTAATTTAATAATTTAATACATTTCATCATTTAAAAGTTTAGTGCAGAAGTATCGAATCGGTATCGATATTGACGATACTGCCTTGAAAAATATCGGTATCGTATCGAAAACAAAATAAGGGGTATCGCCCATCCCTAGTACTAGTGTTGGGTCGTTCTTGAATGATTCGTAATTTTTGAACGAATCTTTAATGTGACTCGGGAGGAACGAGTCGTCGAGTGATTCGTTCAGTCGCGCATGCGCAACATCCTATAGGTTCTGTACTGGAATTAGTCAAGTAGTTCACCTGTTTCGAGTCTTCGCGTTTTTCCGAGTCATTTGTTCATCACGTGACAGACCCATAAGCTTAACCAATGCAGTCTGAACCGGAGAGAGAATTGATTAGTTCATCTCTCGAGTCTTCGGGTTTTTCAGAGTCGTTCGTTCATCACGTGACAGCCCCATACACTTACGCTATGCAGTCTGAGCCGGAAAGAGAATTGATTAGTTCATCTCTCGAGTCTTCGGGTTTTTCGAGTCGTTCGTTCATCACATGACAGACCCATAAGCTTAACCTATGCAGTCTGAGCCGGAAAGAGACTTAATAATAATAACCAACTCTTTATTACCTTTGTTACAACATTCAGTGTTATGTAAAATAACCATCATGACAGAAATTCACATATTTATAAACTGTAAGAAGTAAAAAGATACAATTTGAGACCAGAAACGCATCACGAGTAAGAGTAAATAATAATTATAATAATGATGGTAATAATAATAATAATAACTATGCACCCGTTTGTAAGGAAGCTTGTAAATTAACTAATTTCTCTATCCAATGCTGTCACATCATGTGACAAAAGAACGAACGATTCGAAAGACTCAAGAGATGAACTAATCAATTCTTAATCAGAATGTCTTTATTTAAAAACTGGTTTGACAAAGGTGTAATTTTTGTTTTAGATTTGTTAAAAAAGGATGGTAACTTCTATTCCTTTTCTGAATTTTCTGAAATCTTTGAAGTGGATACCTCACCTAGAGTGTATGAATGAGTTATTAATTCTATTTCACCTAAACTGTTACATTCGGTTAGGGATTGTTACAGATCTTCAAAATGTGAAATGCCAAAAAATTGTATTGGAGGTCTGGAGCTTTCTAATGTTAAATGTAACAATTTCTGCATTAGAAAAATCCTTATTAAGAAGTTAAGTTGTCATCCTAAAGCATTTTATAAGTGGAAAATAAATTACCCTTTTCTTTCTACTATTAGAATATGGGCCGGTATTAATAAGTTTCTGTTACCTACACTCTTAAAAATAAAGGTGCTTCACGAAGCCATAGAAGAACCTTTTTGTCTAAATGGTTCCATAAAGAACCTTTAACATCTGAAGAACCTTTCTGTTTCACAAAAGGTTCTTTGAGGAGAAAGAAGGTTCTTCAGATTATAAAAAGGTAAGAAAGAGATGGTTCTTTAAAGAACCTTTGACTGAATGGTTCTTTGTGGAACCAAAAATGGTTCTTCTATGGCATCGCTTGAAGAACCTTTTGAAGCACCTTTATTTTTAAGAGTGTAACAAGATGAAAGAACTTTACTATAAGATTCTTCATATATACTATCCCTGTAATTCTTTACTCTCAAAATTTAAGGTAGACATCTC